CCAGAGGGGCTGGATCTTGGCTCCGAGCCAGGGGTCCCTGGGTAACAAGTTCTCCCCACCACCACCCCAGAGGGGCCACCTCTCTGTGCCAGGCCGGAGGGTCCCCAGGTAACCGACCCCCCATCTCCCCTTTACAGGTCTCCTCAGACACGGCCAACCGGATGTTCACCACCCTGGTGCTGTGTGAGAAGACCCTTGAGGGGAGGACCCCAGGAGGGGACACGGGAGGGGGCAGCCCCACCCCAGAGGTTCCCTTCCCTGATGACCTGCTGCTCAATAAGCTCTTCCTGCCAGAAGGTAGGGGGCTGGGAGCCAGGACGCCTGGGTTCTCTCCCCGGCTCTGGGAGGGGAGTGGGGGCTGGTGGTTAGAGCAGGGGGGGCTGGGAGCCAGGACGCCTGGGTTCTCTCCCCGGCTCTGGGAGGGGAGTGGGGACTGGTGGGTTAGAGCCGGGGGGCCGGGAGCCCGGACGCCTGGGTTCTCTGCCCCCCTCCGGCTAGCGTCTTTCCCCCAGGGCCCTGTGGCCACACCGTGGAGCAGCTGGGCCCCTGCGACCTGGCGGCGATCACGGGCAAGACGCTGCGGGTGAACGCCGAGCGCATCCTGGAGGACGTCAAAAAGAGACAGATGCCGCGGTTCAGGTCAGGGGGTCCCGGGGCTGGGGCGCGGGGGGAATCCCGTCTCCCTGTGGGTCAGGAGTGGGGTGGGGGTCTCTAGGTGAGGGGAAGTGGGCTCCCCTGGCTGGGGAGGGGACCCCATATTCTCCTGGTGGGGTTGGGGGTCCCAGGTGCCGGTTCAGGGGGGCGCTGGCGATTTGGGACGTGGGAAGTGTGGGGCAGGCTGTGGGGCGGGGTGGGGCTGGGGGGCCAGGGCTGATGTGTGCCGTTGCAGGAGCGACCCCCCCGGCCCCTCGGCCGTGCAGGCGGCCCAGGAGCTGCTACGGCTGGCGGAGGGGGGCGCCGGGGGGCTGCCCCGCCTGGACCCGGTGGGCACCCTGCAGCTGAAGGAGCTGGCGGTGGCGGAGGGCGCCATGCGGCTCCGGCGCCTGGAGGAGGCGCTGCCCGGCTTCCAGTGCGTCCAGAGCCCCCGCTTCCCCCAGCAGGTGAGTGGGGCCGGGGCCAGCGGCGTGGGGCACTCCACCGACCCCCCAGGACCTGCAGCTCGCTGTGTTTGGGGGGGGCCTCTCACTCTCCCTCTCTCTCTCACATGGCTGGCCGAGCGTGGGGCGGATGGGGGTTTGGGGGGGAATTGGGGCCAGTCTCACCCCCCCCGTCCCCCCCAGTACCTGCGGCTGGCCAAGTGGGGGGGGGATGGGTGGGGCATGGGGGTTTGGGGGGGGAATTGGGGCCAGTCTCACCCCCATGTCCCCCCCAGTACCTGCGGCTGGCCAAGTGGGGGGGGGATGGGTGGGGCATGGGGGTTTGGGGGGGGAATTGGGGCCAGTCTCACCCCCCGTCCCCCCAGTGTACCTGCGGCTGGCCGAGCGGCTGCGGCTGCGGGCAGAGCTGGAACACCTGCGCTTCCTGCTGTCGGACCAGTCCCTGCTGCTGCTGCCCGAGTACCAGCAACGCGTGGAGGTGAGCCCCGCCCCACACCCCTGCCCCACAGCCGCGGCCCCGCCCCACACCCCTGCCCCACAGCGCGGCCCCGCCCCACACCCCTGCCCCCGAGTCCCATAACCTGTGGAGGTGAGCCCTGCTCCACAGCCATGGCCCCTGCCCCACAGCACTGCCCCCCGAGTCCCATAACACGTGGAGGTGAGCCCTGCTCCACAGCCATGGCCCCTGCCCCACAGCACTGCCCCCCCGAGTCCCATAACGTGTGGAGGTGAGCCCTGCCCCACAGCCACGGCCCCCGCCCCACAGCACTGCCCCCGAGTCCCAAAACACGTGGAGGTGAGCCCTGCCCCACAGCCCCCGCCCCACAGCACTGCCCCCCGAGTCCCAAAACACGTGGAGGTGAGCCCTGCCCCACGGCCCCCGCCCCACAGCACTGCCCCCGAGTCCCAAAACACGTGGAGGTGAGCCCTGCCCCAGGGCCCCACCCCACAGCGTTGCCCCAGAGCCCCCACAGTACCAGCACCATGTGGTGAGCCCTGCCCCTAGTCCCAGCGCTGCGTGGCGGTGAGCCCTGCCCACAGCCCGTCGTCCCCCCAGGTGCTGCGGGCGCTGCGCTACGTGGACGTGGGGGGCGCGGTGCAGCTGGCCGGGCGCGTGGCCTGCGAGATCAGTAACCACGAGCTGCTGCTGACGGAGCTGGTGTTCGACAACCTGCTGACGGAGCTGCGGCCGGAGGAGAGCGTGGCCCTGCTCAGCTGCCTGGTCTGCCAGACCAAGGGCCAGGCCGAGCCCCAGGTGCCCAGCGTGCTCCGCAAGGTGAGCCCGGACGCCTGGGTTCTCTGCCCGGCTCTGGGGGCCAGGCCGCCCGGGTTCTGCCCCCGTGTGGGGGCTGGTGGGGAGAGGCTGGGAGCCAGGACTCCTGGGTTCTCTGCCTGGCTCTGGGGGCTGGGGCTGTGGACCTCCTGGGTTCTATCCTGGGACTGAGGGGGGGAAGGGGCTGGGATCCCGGACTCCTGGGTTCTCTGCCCAGGATGGGGAGCTGGGCCCCTCACCGCTGGCTCTCCCCGGCAGGGCATGGAGCGGATCCGGGCAGTGGCCGAGCGCATCGCCCTGCTGCAACGGGAGTGCGGCCTGCGGGAGTCGGTGGAGGATTTCGTGGCGCAGTACAACTTCGGCCTGGTGGAGGTGGTGTACGAGTGGGCCCGCGGCATGGTGAGTGGCCAGCACCCCAGGGGGGCCCCCAAAGTCCCATGCCCCCCAGCCAGCCAGGCCCCGCCCCCAAGCGGGAGAGGAAGCCCAGGCCATGTGTCCGACACCCCCCAGCCAGCAAGCCCCCTGCCCCCGGACGGGAGGGGAAGCCCAGGCCCCGTGTCCCTGCCCCCGGACGGGAGGGGAAGCCCAGGCCCCGTGTCCCACGCCCCCGGACGGGAGAGGAAGCCCAGGTCCCGTGTCCCACGCCCCCGGACGGGAGGGGAAGCCCAGGCCCCGTGTCCCACGCCCCCGGACGGGAGGGGAAGCCCAGGCCCCGTGTCCCATGCCCCCGGACGGGAGGGGAAGCCCAGGCGCCGTGTCCCAGGCCCCCACCCCCGGATGGGAGGGGGAACCCCAGGCCCCGTGTCCCCCGCCCCCGGACAGGAGAGGAAGCCCAGGCCCCGTGTCCCAGGCCCCCGCCCCCGGATGGGAGGGGGAACCCCAGCCAGCCAGGTCCATGTCCACGTCCCACGCCCTCTCTCCCCCAGCCCTTTGCCGAGATCGCCCGGCTGACGGAGGTGCAGGAGGGGATCATCGTGCGCTGCATCCAGCGGCTGGACGAGACCTGCCGGGACGTGCGCAATGCGGCCCGGGTCATCGGGGAGCCCACGCTGCACGCCAAGATGGAGCAGGCCTCCAACCTGATCAAGAGAGACATCGTCTTCGCTGCCAGCCTCTACACCCAGTGACCCCGCTGTGACCTTTAACCTCTGTGAGGTCAGCATCTCCTGCCCTCTGACCCTTCACCCCCAGGGCACGGCAAGAGCATGTGGACTGTGATTGCAGGGATCAGCCTTTGCCCTGTGACCTTTCACCTCTAGCCATGGCATCTGCCCTTTCACCCCAGCTGGTAGGCCGGGGCAGGGGGGCCGCTAGCTGTGATCTTTCACCCCATGGCAGCTGGAGGTTGGAGTCTAACCTTTGCCCTGCAGCTCAGGGGTCAGTGGGGGGCAGCAGCCCTGACCCCTCCCCCCAGCTCCCCTAAGGGCTGACAATGGGGGGGCAGGGTGGAGAGACAGGAATATGGTGCCCCCAGCAGGGGCCTCTGTGTCCAACCTGTTAATAAATCTGTCTGCAGCAGCCGCCGTGTGGGGGCTTGATTGGGGAGTGGGTGAATCCCCCCATAGCCCTGCGGGGGTAGCTTCCCTGGAGGGGTCAGTGCCCCCATGCCCCAGCCTCACGTCCCAGCTGCTCCTCTGGGGCATTCGGGGGGGCCCTGTACTGGGAGCGTCTGACACCCCCCCGCCATGCCAGGAGGAACCCAGGAGTCCTGTGCTCACCATGCTGAGGGTCTTCCTACTGCAGTTTGGTATTCAGAGAGACAAACCCCTTTTCTCCCCCTCCTCTGCCCAGAGCAGGTGGGCTGATCCATGCCCCTCCCCCCTGCCCAGAGCAAATGTGGCTCCACCTCTGCTTGTGTCCATAACTGGTTCGGTCCATGAATACTCCACCAGGGGGGAGCCGAGTTCCCTTGGCGATGGAATGTCCCATTGCAAGAGGGGAGCAGAATGCTCATGTGACCATGGAAGGCGGGAGTAGCTTTGAGGTGGATTGTTCCATTACAGCTGGGGGGGTGCCCCTCTACAGCCCCCCCGCCCCTTGGCTTGTTCCAGCTGCCCCCTGGGCCCAGCCAGGCGGGAGGGTTCTCGCTGCTGGGCCCCTCCTGCCCCCAGCCCAGGGGTCACTCCCACCCCAGCTGTGGTAGGAGCAGCTCTCTCCCTTCCCAAGGGGGCGGGGCTCTCCCAGAGGAGGGTGGAGCCTGTAGCCCCACCCCCAGTAACCTGACCCTAGGACTTGCCAGCATCAGAGGTCAGGCTGTCCCAGCAGGTGCCCAAGTCTGGGGGCCCCAAGGCAGCTTGTGACCTCGAGGGGGGCAGGTTCCCCCTGTTACCCCCCGCTGCCAAGTCATGACCTCCCTCCGTGTCCCACAGGGGGCAAAGGTCACACTCCTCCCCTTCACCTTTCAGATGGGGGTCATGACCTTTCCCTGCTGCTTGTGGGCAGCCAATCTTGCCCTTTACCTGTGTCACTTGACAGTCCCACCCTGACCTTTCACCCTTTCCCAAGAGGGGGTCATGACCTTCCACACACCCCCTGGGGGCCAGATGCCCCTGGACAAATGGACATGGCAGGCACACGGCCCTGACCCTCACACATGGTTTATTAGTGCCCCGCCCCACATCCTCCCCCCCCCCCCCCCCATTCCTCCCCCCGGCGGCTCAGTCCGGACTCTTTCCTCCGCTCATGGTCTCCACGTACCAGGCCGGGAGGAAGACGTGCTCCGCGCCCTGGTGCCGGGTGTAGGACACGGGGCGGCCGGGCTCCCAGGCAAAGAGGTGCACGAGTCTGGGGAGAGAAGGGGGGGGTGATAGTGGGGGGCCTGGACCCAGGACTCCTGCGTTCTCTCTCTGCCTCTGGGAAGGGAGTGGGGTCTAGTGGTTGGTGGGGGGGTGGCGGCAGCAAGGAGCCAGGACTGCTGGGTTCTCTCGCCAGCTCAGAGAGAGGAGTGGGGTCTGGTGGTTAGAGCAGGGGGGCCGGGAGCCAGGACTCCTGGGTTTGAATCCAAGCTCTGGGAAGGGAGTGGGTTGTAGGCCAGGGGTTCTCAACCCTTTTCTGTGAGTGCCCCGTCCCTCCCCGCTATGAGTCTAACGCCAGTCATACTTCACCGACCCTTGACACCTGCTTATGGCCCCCCAGTTGAGAAGCCCAGGTCGAGGGGGGGAGCGCACAGGGGCACTGGGAGTCGGGGCTCCCCCATTCTCTTCTACTCACTGGGGATCATCCTCTGTCACCACCTTCTTGAGGAAGGCCAGGAAGGCCTCGCAGAAGTTCATGCACACGGCCGGCTTCCAGCAGCCTCGGTCGCCCTATTGGGGGGCAGGGGGGAAGGGACCAGCTTCAAGTCACTGCTGGGGAGTGGGGGCGCGAGGGTCTAACACGGGAGGGAGGCAGGGCTGGCCGGGGACTGGAGGGGCCCATGGTGGGAGAGAAATGGGGAGCACGGAGGTCAGAGGGATCGCAGGGGCTAAGGGGCACAGTGACAGATGGGGGGCCCTACAGCAGTTGGAGGAGTAGTGGGGGGCTGGAGAGGATGCGGGGGCAGGGCCGGCCTGGGGGGGCAGCTCACCCGGATCAGCTGGAAGATCTTCATGGTCTCGAAGGTCTCCAGGGTGGCCACAGAGCCGTCGGGGGCACGGAAGCCGGCCACAATGCGGGAGACGCCGGGCAGGAAGGACTGCGCCCACCACTTGATCAGCTTGTACCTGGGGGGCAGGGAGGGGGGTCAGCCTGGGTCACTAGCACCCTCCCCCCCAGCCTCCGATCCACCCCCCACCCATGCAGGAAATACAGGGCTGAGAACCCCCAGCCGGCCTGGCCACTCAGGGAACGTACACCCAGGGCTGCACTAGGCTGGGGGTGTTCCTTGGGGTGGAGCTGGGGAGGTACCGGGGGGGTTCTCACCTATAAAAGCTCCTGCGCTGAGCGGGGCTGTGCAGCTCCTTGCACGTCTTGAGCTCCACGTAGCAGGCGGGGGGCTCGGGCCAGGCCCCACGGGGGTCGGCGCAGTCCACCTCCCCGGCGAAGAGCAGTGAGTGGGAGCCCAGCCGTGTGCGCACCACCGTGCAGAATGCCTCGTTGGTGTTCACCACCCCCGTGGGGTCCGGGCTCCCGTCCGGGGTGTCTGGGGGGACAGGCACAGGACGCCTGGGTTCTCTCCCCAGCTCTGGGAAGGAAGGGGGAGCTAGTACTTAGAGCAGGGGGGAGCTGGGAACCAGGATGCCTGGGTTCTCTCCCCAGCCCTGGGAGGGGTGTGCGGGTCAGTGGTTAGAGCAGGGGGAAGCTAGGAGCCAGGACGCCTGGATTCTCCCCCAGCGCAGAGATGGGAGGTGGGGCTAGTGGGTCAGAGCATGGGGGACTAGGACCCAGGATGCCTGGGTCCTCTCCCCAGCTCTGGGAGTGGAGGGGGGCACTAGTGGTTAGAGCAGGGGGGAGCTGGGAACTAGGATGCCTGGGTTCTCTCTCTCAGTAGGGGACGGGAAGGGGGGAGTGGGAGCCAGGACTCCTGGGTTCTATTTACCCGCACACATGTAGCGCTCGAATTTGTAGCCCATGTAGGCCAGCTCCTGCAGCATGTCGGAGCGCTGCTCCCGCTGCTGCCGGGCCGCCGGCGTCTCCACCTCACTCACGTACAGCGTGCCCCGGAAGAGGCTGACGGCCAGCAGCCAGCCCTCCTGGCTCTCGTAGGGCGTCGTCAGTACCTTGGTAAGGTGCCCCCGCCAGGTCACGAAATCTGCGTTCACGGGGCGCCTTGGGGGGGACACAAGGGGGTGGCATCGCCACATACAAAATCGGTAGGTTTCAGAGTTACCCGTTCTCTGCTGAGCTGAAAGCGGCCATCTGAGCCCTATGGTATCAGGCTCTCGGCAGACTCAGGTATTCAGACCGGCACCCCCGCCCCGTGCTCCTGAACCCCCGCAGCCTGTGTGGGGGCAGGGGGATCTGGTGGGGAGTGGAGGGGGGAGGACCACGATGGACCCCAGCCGGGGACTCCCTCTGTGCTGACCCCTCCCTGCCCAGCCAAGCCAGGACCATGATGGACCCCAGCTGTGCTGACCCCTCCTCCTCCTCCAGCCAAGCCAGAATGGTGGGGCAGCCCACGCCAGTCTATGCAGGGGGGGGTGGGGTGTCTACCTGTCTGCCCCCAGGCCCCCATCTCCCTCTGCTCATACGCTGGCTTCACAGTGACCCCTCCTGCCTGGGAGGACCCCATTAAGCCACAGCACCCCCTGCCAAACTGGAGGACCCCACTGACTCCAGAGCTCCCCCAGATCAGCAGTGGCCACCGGCAGTTCCCCTTGGAGGACTCACCCCCGAGATCAGCGGGGAGCCCCCCAGCAGCCCCTGCTGGCCCGGGGCTCTCGGCCTGCCCCTCGCTCACCCCGCGGCGTCGCCCTGGGACCGCAGCCGGTCCCGGTTCCCGGCCACCCACTGCAGGAGATGCTCCAGCCCCTCGCGCCGGCCCTCGTCCCGCCGCACGTAGAGGTCACGGTAGCCGTGCCGCAGGTCGAAGGCAGGCTCGGGGCGCTCGGCGCGGGGCGGGGCGAAGTAGCGCAGCTGGCGGGCGTCGGGGTGGTAGCAGCGCTGGGCGTCCAGGGAGAAGCGTCCCTCCTCGGCCGGCCGGCGGTAGAAGGGGAAGGGCCCATCGTAGAGGGCCGGCTCCGTGGGCAGGGTGGGGGGGGGCCCAGCGGCCGCGCTTGGGGGAGCCCCCCAGCTCCGCGGGGGCCTCGCCGGCTCCGCTGCTGCGCTTGGCCGGGCGGGCGCCGGGCTCCATGGCGGCCTGGAACAGCGAGAGGGAGGTGAGAACCGGGAGCTCGGCTGACAGGCACCCCCTCCCCCGCTAGCCGCCCCCTCCCCCGCCAGCCCCCACTCCCCGGGTGGGGCCCCCTAGCCCCGGCCAGACCCCCTCCCCACAGGGCCCCCTTCCCCCCCCGCCAGCCTCCCCGGGGGGCCCCTCCCCACTCCCCAGGAGCCCCCTCCCCCGCCAGCCCCCACTCCCCGGGTGGGGCCCCCTAGCCCCGGCCAGACCCCCTCCCCACAGGGCCCCTGCCGCCCCCCCCCCTCCCCCGCCAGCCCCCACTCCCCAAGGGGGACCTCTAGCCCCCGCCAGTCCCCCCTCCCCACAGGGCGCCCTCCCCCCCCCGCCAGCCTCCCCGGGGGGCCCCTCCCCACTCCCCGGGAGCCCCCTCCCCCGCCAGCCCCCACTCCCCAGGGGGGCCCCCCCCGCCAGCCTCCCCGGGGGCCCCCTCCCCCGCCAGCCCCCACTCCCCAAGGGGGACCTCTAGCCCCCGCCAGTCCCCCCCTCCCCACAGGGCGCCCTCCCCCCCCGCCAGCCTCCCCGGGGGGCCCCTCCCCACTCCCCGGGAGCCCCCTCCCCCCGCCAGCCTCCCCGGGGGCCCCCTCCCCCACTCCCTGGGGGCCCCCTCCCCGGCTAGCCGCCCCCTCCACCCCTGGGGGCCCCCTCCCCCGCCAGCCCCCACTCCCCAGGGGGGCCCCCCGCCAGCCGCCCCAAGGGGGCCCCCCCCCGCCAACCCCCCCCACTCCCCGGCGGGGCCCCTCCCCAGCCCCCTGGGGGGCATTTCCGCTGCAGGCCCCGCCCCAGCCCTGGCAGCTCCCGACCCCCCCAATCTCCCCCCGGCCGCCCCCCCGGGACCCCTCCCACCCTCTGACCTTTCACCCCGAAGCCCGATCACTTTCCCGCCCGTCCCTCTCCGGTGACCTTTGACCCCCCCTCACCCCCGGGCTTCCGCCGGACGTCATCGGGGAGCGACGGGGGCGGGGAGCTGGGCCCGGTGGGCTCGCGCCGTAACGTCATTGGACCGCGCCCGGAAGAGGCGCTTGGATCCCGGATCCTCGCGCAGAGTCAGTGAGGAGAGGGGGTGCTGACGTCATCACTCGGGGACGGGGGGGGAGGGGGCGGCTGGTGAGGGGGGGGGGGGGGGGACTCGGGCGAGGAGGAGGAGGGAGAGGGGGGGGGTCTGGCGGGGGGGGGAGTGAGGGGGTCTGGAGGAGGGGGGGGGGACCGGCTGGGGGGGGGGGGGGAGGAGGGGAGGGGGGGGGGGGTTGGGGGGGGTGGAGGGGGAGGGGGGAGGGCGGGAACTGGCTGGGGGGGAGGAGGAGAGGGGGGGTCTGGCGGGGGGGGGAGGAGAGGGAGAGGGGGAGGGGAGGGGGCTCTGGGGGGGGGTGGCTGGAGGGGAGGGGAGGGGAGGGGAGGGCAGGAACTGGCTGGGGGGGGGGGGAGGAGGGGGAGGGGGTTGGGGGGGTGGGGGGGGGGGGGGGGGGGGGGGGGGGGGGGGGGGGGAGGGGGGTCTGGCGGGGGGGGAGGAGAGGGGAGAGGAGAGGAGAGGGGGGTCTGGCGGGGGGGGGACCGGCTGAGGAGAGGAGAGGGGAGGGGGAAAACTGGCTGAGGGGATCTGGCTGGGGGGGTGACTGGGATGGATGCCCACGGGGGGGTGTCCCGCTGTGCTGACCCCTCGCCCGCCCCCAGCCCCATGGAGCGCCGCCGCCAGCTGATCTCCGACACCCTGAAGGCCAAGAAGCGGCGCCTGCAGCCGGGACCCGACCCCGGGGACGCGGGAGAGCCGGACAGACCGGGTAACGGGGGCGGGGCGCCAGGACGCCTGGGTTCTCCCCCGGCTCTGGGCGGGGAGTGGGGGCTGGACGGTCAGAGCATGGGGGAGGGGCGCCAGGACGCCTGGGTTCTCCCCCGGCTCTGGGCGGGGAGTGGGGGCTGGACGGTCAGAGCATGGGGGAGGGGCGCCAGGACGCCTGGGTTCTCCCCCGGCTCTGGGCGGGGAGTGGGGGCTGGAGGGTCAGAGCATGGGGGAGGGGCGCCAGGGCGCCTGGGTTCTCTCCCAGCTGACCCTGTGCTGTTGGTTGGCAGAGGGCTCCGGGGCGGTGGAGTCGGCCCTCCGGTATCTCGCCTCCCTCTTCCCTCGCCAGCTGTTCGAGGACGCGCTGCCCCCCCTTGTCCTGAAGCACCAGCTCTACAGCCTGGTGAGGGATCGCACGGCCGTGGACAGGCAGCTGGTAAGAGCCCCCCCACCCCATTCCCTGCCCCCATCAGACCCAGGGGCCCCTTCAGCCCAGGCTGCCCCCTGTGACGGGTTGGGTCACAGAAACCCCCTTGAAATGCCCACCTGATGTGCTGGGACTACCTCTGAGCCCATTTTCCCTGACAGCCAGAACCCTGCCTTGTTGAGCCAGACACACCAGCTGCTAGAAACGTCTGAACCACATCCTCAAAAGCTGCAGACTTAACTGAAAACAGCTTAAGAAGTGCTCCTGTCTCCAGCTCCCAATGGGGTCCAAACCTCAAATAAATCCGTTTTACTCTGTATAAAGCTTATACAGGGTAAACTCATAAATTGTCCCCCCTCTGTAACACTGATAGAGAGAGATGCCCAGTGGTTTGCTCCCCCAGGGATTAATACTAGCTCTGGGTTAATTAATAAGTAAAAAGTGATTTATTAAAAACAAAAAGTAGGATTTAAGTGGTTTCAAGTAATAGACAGAACAAAGTAAATTACCAAGCAAAATAAAATAAAACACCCAAGTCTAAGCCTAATACAGTAGGAAACTACATGCAAGTAAATCTCATCCCCACATATTTTCCAGGAAGCTTCTTTCACAGACTAGACTCCTTTCCAGTCTGGGCCCATCCTTTCCCCTGGGACAGTCCTTGTTCCAGCTCAGGTGGTAGCTAGGGGATTTTTCATGACTGCAGCCCCCTTTGTTCTGTTCCACCCCCTTATATAACTTTGGCACAAGGCGGGAATCTTTTGTCTCTTTGGGTCCTCACCCTCCTTCTAAATGGAAAAGCCCCAGGTTAAAGATGGATTCCAGTACCAGGTGACATGGTCCCATGTCCTGGGAGACCCCAAGCCTTCATTCTTCCTGGTCTGACTCACAGGAAGGCTTGGAAGTAAACAGAGCCATCTACAGATAATTGTCCTAGTTAATGGGAGCCATCAAGATTCCAAACCACCATTAATAGCCCACGCTGCATAATTACATTAGGACCTCAGCGTTATGTTTCATATTTTTAGTTTCAGATACAAGAACAATACATTCATACAAATAGGATGAATACATGCAGAAGACCATAATCTTTGCATGGCATATGTATCATAAAACATATTCCAGTTATGTCATATTTATATTGATAAGCATATGTCTATAAAGCATTAATGGGGTGCAATGTCACACCCCCCATTAACTGTCTCCCCCTGCAGAGCCGGCTGAAGGATGAGGGGCTGATCCGGCTCTTCCAGCTCGGATTTGACTCGGACGTCTTTGGGGTGGCATTCACCCAGGACTACACGACCAAGGTGGGTCTCTGTCCCCCCAGCAGGGCTGCTGAGGCCTCCGGCAGTGGGAGCAGGGTCCCCACAGCCCCGGGGGTGCTGGCTGGTGGTGACAGCCCCCCCCATCTCCGCCTAGGTGCTGCAGTCCGTGGCGGGGAAGGAGCACGCCGGGACGGTGCGCCAGTTCTTGGAGACAGCGCTCGCCACCTGCCCTGAACTCAGCTACGACAATGGCCGCATGCAGAGGGACTTCGGCTTCCGGGACCCGGACATCACGTGGGTGGCTGGGAGTGTGGGAATGGGCAGGGCCCACGCGGCCTTCCTGGGCCCCGTTGCAGCCACGTTCCCCTTCCCCTCCTCACCCTTGCACCCGCTTGGTGTTCTACGCTGCTTTCCCCACCCCAGAGGGGCCGCATCTCTGTGCATGACCTGCATAACCATCCCCGCATCCCATCCCAGAGGGGCAGTGCCCAGCGCCGGGCGAGGGGTCCCTGGGTAACCAGCCCCAGTGCCCCACCCCAGAGGGGCTGCATCTCAGCGCCAGGCCAGGAGTCTCCATATAACCAGCCCCAGTGCCCCACCCCAGAGGGGCCGCAACCCGGCGCCAGGTGAGGGGTCTCTGGAGCGAAGGACACTGAGGTGACAGGTCTCTTCTCCTGTCCCCTCTCCCAGGCAGCTAGTAAATGCCGGGGTCCTGACCGTCCGTGACGCTGGCAGCTGGTGGCTAGCCGTGCCTGGAGCTGGGCGCTTCGTTAAATGCTTCATCAAAGGTTTGTGTGAGACAAGCCAGCCCCCGCCCTGGAGCCAGGTCAGAGCCGGCGCCCCCTAGAGGGGAAAAGCTGACTGGGTGGGATAGCTCAGTGGTTTGAGCATTGGCCTGCTAAATCCGGGGTTGTGCGTTCAATCCTTGAGGGGGCCATTTAGGGATCTGGGGCAAAAATTGGGGATGGGTCCTGCTTTGAGCAGGGGGTTGGACTAGTTGACCTCCTGAGGTCCTGATATTCTGTGATTCTATGGCTGAGTCCTCTCTCTCTCCCCGGGCCCAGGACGCAAGGCCGTGCTGGGGATGATCCAGAAGGCCAAGTACAAGGAGATTTTGCTGTCGGATCTGCAGAGCCGCCGGGCTCCCAGTGCCGTGAAACTGGGGCTCCCCTATCACATCCATGACCTCATTGGGGCCCAGCTAGTCGACTGGTACGACCCGTCCCGTCCCCCGCCCCGAACCAGGGAGAGAACCCAGGGGTCCTGGCTCCCAGCCGCCCACTCTAACCCACCAGCTCCCACTCCCCTCCCAGAGCTGGGGAGAGAACCCAGGGGTCCTGGCTCCCAGCCCCCCCACTCTAACCACCAGGCCCCACTTCCCTCTAGGGTGACCAGATTCTCCGTTTTTATAGGGACAGTCCTGTTTTGGGGGACTTCTTTTATATAGGCGCCTATTACCCCCCACAGTTGCTATCTGGTCACCCTTCTCCCCGCCCAGAGCTGGGAGGGAACCCAGGAGTCCTGCTCCACCCCTGTTGTCCCAGCGACTGAGCTAAGCTAACAGTCTCGCTCTGATTCTCCCAGCATCCCCAGCACTTCCGGGACCCTGCTGCGATTGGCCGACTCCTGACCCCGCAACCTGAGGAGCTCCGGGAGATCTGTGCCAAGGACTGACTGACGCTGGGGGGCGGAGGGGGCTCACCTTGGCTCCCTGCCGTGGGGACTGGGGTTTCCCATCATGCAGCGGGGCTCAGCCGCTCTGGGCCCCTGCACAGGGACTGTGGGTCTAGGCGGTTTAATTTATTTTGTGGATCAATGTTTGCACTTGGGGGACGGGGGGAAGGATCCGGGCCTGGCCCGTGGGACTTGGGGGGAGGGGCAGGGAGATTTGAGCCACACCCTGGCTGCGGCTCAGCGGAAGGGCCGTGGAGGGTAATAAATGGGGGTTTCTCTGCTCCCCCCAGCCTCCTGGGGTCCCTGTTTCCCCGCGGCGCGTCCCTGCCCATCCTGGGCTGTGCAGGGGGCCGAGGGGCAGGCCCCCAGCGGTCAGAAATGGATGGTTTGTGAAGGAGGGTGGGGTACGATGCCCCCTAGTCTTGGGGTAGGGAATTGCAGCAGCAGAGACCCCTGTGCTGAATCAAGCCCCTCCCCTCCCAGAGCTGGGAGAGAACCCAGGAGTCCTGGCTTCCAGCCCCCCCGATCTAACCACCAGCCCCCGCTCCCCTCCCAGAGCCGGGAAGTTTTGGTGGGCGCTTTCCCTTTAAGGGAGGGGAGATGGGCGGGGCCAGAGCTCAGTCATGTGACCTGCTGTGCGTCTGTATCCAGGCGGTCCCCTCAGCCAATCACGTGCCTCGCCTTTGAGTCATGTGACTACCCCCCCTCCCGCTACAGTGTAACCGGCGGCGCAGGCGGCGGGTTAAAGGGGCCGCGACCCACGGGCCATGGGGCGCCCCGGGGCCCTGCCCCTCGCGGG